CCCCAAAACCCCAAAACCCCAAAACCCCAAAACCCCACAATGCAGATTGCTTTTAAATAGGAGAATTCTACAAATCAATTAAAATTTCATAATTTATTAAGTTATTTGTCCTTTTCAATAATATTGAGAATTTCAAGAGCATATAGTGGAGCCAGTCTATAGGGAGGGCTAAACAAATAATATAGTCCATCATCCTTGCCTTTCTCACAGACTGTCACTAATTTGTTGTCCCTTCTCAAATCAATATAAAAATGTATCTCTCGTATCTTTGCCCCAGGAATCCTCATATCTAAATATTCCTAGATTTAATCATCTGTTTTAAAATCTGTCATTCCAATTACGTAAGACTTCAAACCGTCCCCAGTTACCTATCCATAAAATCCAAATCCATCTTTGGTCATGTCAGTGTATAGCTCAGGAAGGGCAGATGAGTCCAGATCTATAATAGCAGACTTCAATTCAGCAGGTTAGAGATTAAATTTATCATAGTAGCCTTCTCCATTGGTGCATAAAACTATTGCTTTTGAATCAAGCACTTAGCCATCTGAAAGCTCAACTTGGTTCTTGTTTAAAACTCTAGCACTCTAATTGTATATCAATTCTGATCCTTGGCTTATTGAAAAATTCATCAGCGAGTCCTTTATTGATTCACAGTAGAATATTCCTGCACTCTCTTCATTCATTAGGCATTTCAGACTATCAGCAGCATTAAATTTAGTGTATTATGCTTTGAAATCTGAAATAGAAATCTCTTTAGCAATAGACTTCAAATATTCTCCTCTAATTTCCTCCAATATATATGACATTTTCTGTCTCTCATAAAGCTTTACGCCTGTTTTTTCGCTTAGCTAATCCCACATTTTAAGAGCAGTTTCCAAATCAGCACCCTGTGTCGGATGATATCTTCTAGTATATCCATTTGAAGCAGTCATGTTATAGCAGCTAGTTGGATTTTAATCGACGCCAAGTACTTTCATATTTTAAGAGGACGCTAGATATGAAAGATAAAGACCTGATATTCCAAGACCAACAACTATAAGGTCATAAGTTTGTTTTACTATTCCTTCCATTAAAACTAAAATATTTTATAATTTAATTTTTCACCAACTGAATTAAATTTATATTGTAGATTTTAATTACTCATATTAAATTAATAATCTTAATAAAAACAATCTAATGAATATAGAGTAGAATCAATAAGCTAGACAATTAGATGACTAGGATAGTGGATACAGGCTCTAGCAAAATAGAGCCAGAGATGAAAATCCCTATTTCTCTAATAAGATATTAGACGAGGAAGATCAGTTGGGCTTCATAAGAAAAGTCTATGGTATATTGCTAACCTAGATAACAATAACAGCACTATGCTCATTACTACCCTTAGTTGACGAGGGTGCGAGACTCTTTTTAATCAGAAATCAGTCAGTTGTAATATTTCTAATGATACTAGCTATAGTAATTCAATGTGGAATGTTCTGCATATAATCGCTAGCAAGGACTGCTCCAATTAATTATGTTTTGATGTTTGGTTTTACAATTTGTGAGGCCTACATTGTAGCATTCATCTGTGCTACAGTGAGAAATCCGCTTATTGTTGCTCAAGCTGCTTTTATGACTGCTGGAATAGTATTTGCTCTGACTTTGTATGCTGTGTAAAGCAAAACAGATTTTACTGTGATGGGAGGGATGGCTTTTGTTTTAGCCGTTGGCTTTATAATGTTTTCGATGCTCAGCTTTCTATTTGGACCAACTATGAGGTTAATATATTGTACATTAGGTGTGTTGATATTTGGTTTTTATTTAGTTATCGACACATAACTCTTAATTGGAGGCAGAAGATACCAACTGGATAAAGATGATTATATACTTGCAGCAGTTATCCTGTATCTTGATATTATCAACATCTTCTTGTATATTTTACAAATCCTGACATAGCTAATGGGAGGCTAAAAGGAATGAATATTTAAAACAAATAATATTTTTACTGTGCAATTATTTTCTTCTTTAGTTTACAGCCATTTATACAGCAGGGGTTTTGGGGTTTTGGGGTTTTGGGG